TTATGATTACTTTTAAACTTTATCAAATTAAGATTGCAATCAAACTCTATCTAAATCACAAAAGATTATCATTATCAAAATCAACATTTATCACTCTATCGATACATAATTATTTGACTCAAATAAGATAGGAATTTCAAACATATTTCATTTTAGTCCTCATTTTTTTTTCAAAATATTAAAAATATAGTATGTAAAACGAATAAAATTTTATTCTAAAATTTTCAGGGCATTACACTTTTTCTATCATAACTTAAAGTATTGAGCTCATAAAATTATACACATTTATAAGGTAACATATGTAGCCTAAGTGAAAGATTGTTGGGAAAATATTTAATTTGCCTTGTGAGCCTGCTTATGTAATTAATTGTGTATAAAAATTATCTTAAAGTTAAGTCCAAAATTCAACTGATCTAATAAAGAATTAAGTAATTGGACTTTGGGTATCTAAATAAAATGTGGACCGAATTATATGTGTAGAGATCGGATACATTAAGGTTATATTTGACGATGTGCCGATACATATAAAAAATATATATAGAGTTATAGTACCCCAATTCATATATAATTTCTCGTTCTTTGGGTCATTCCTTCAATGCAAGAATACAAGAGAAAATATATTGAACAAGAAAATCCAAAACTCACAATTAAGAACATCTGAGCATGCAATCCACAAGTAAGAATCAAGATGAAAGAATTCAAGAATCAAGAAGCCGACATCAAGATAAAAAATTCAAGAATCAAAATAGTCAATATTTAAGATTCAAGATCCAAAATCAAGATTTGATATTAAATAATTAATACCAATGATTTAAAGTATGTTTCACATTTAATAATTCTCTTGGTGATTCAACATGGAGGATTTTGACAATTGAATAATTAGTTTTTCTAGTTACTGAGACTGAAGTTTTATTAAAAAAATAAAAAAATCTAACACACTAACGTTATTCAAGTAAAACATCATGATGATTGTTCACGAAAATATGTTGAATTAAAATCACAACAAGTGTACGATTCGTTAATAAGTAGTAAAATGGATTTTGAGTCCAAGTATCGTTCCACAAAAATTGATTAGTTTTAAATCTAATTATTGTGACCTTAACCGAAACTATAAAAATGAGAATATTTGTTTTGATGAAATTATAACTAAATTAATGATCAATATGCAAGTATGAATGAATTAACTAACTGAATGCAAATTGACGATGAATGTAAATTGAAATGTTTTCTAATGTATGATGAATGTACTAGGATCACGAATCCCTATATAATATTCATTTTAAACTTATTTCTACACCTCGACACACTATTGAAATATTGAAGAATCAATACTCCTAAATTATTTAACAATCTCTCTCGAGTAGAGTTAAACATATTCAAATATGCAACCGACTATATCTCTATGACAGATGCAAACATACAAGAATGCATGAGTTTTTATAAACACTTAAAGATTCACATAAGGCATAATTTATATCCCCTATCTGACTCTATGATAATTTATATATGCTTTGTAACGACCCGGCCTTGCACCGAGCCGTCATCATATCTTACGTACTGTCCGCTTTGGGAGAGTTTAGGCCCATCTTACCCCTCACGACTTTCGACGTATCCCACATGATTCGAACCCTAGACCTCCATCATATGAGAAATTTAAGTTGAATTCTAATACCAATTGGACAACTTGAACCTATTCCACTTCTTTCGAATGCATGAAATAAGTCACCAAACTCACACAATCATTCGCACATATAATTGTGGAGAAAAATAAATTCATATAAATAATTCAAATATCTCAAAACGTGTTTTTGGTTGTCAAGAATGTAAAATTAAGAAATAAAAATCATATTATATAGTTCATCTAACCCTATTACAGAATTAATCTAGCCTATCATGGTGGGAAGAAGAAAATCAGAAAAATAAATAAAAAACGATATCACCAATTCGATTCTTGAATTGAATCTTCGTGTTCTTGGAGTTGATCATCGCTTTTTTGCCTCTTTTCTTCTCAAAAGTCTTCTCACATCTCCCCCTTTATGTATTCTACTGTTATATATTTGTAGGAGTCGAAAATAGTTGAAAATTACGTCCAATTTGGTTTCGAAAAGAGGTCCAATTGAATCAGGAAAGTTTTATTCGCGCGCAGATTTTTTTGTCTCTGCACAACAGTCAGTATTTTGGTCATAATTTTCTCTCCCGATATCCGATTGGGACGATTCAAAGTGCATTGGAAAGTTAGCTCAAAGGGCTACAACGTTTTTGGAATTATAATTTTTCCAATTCGGACGTTTACAATTCCAAAAAAGGGTCTCAATATTCGGCTAAAAATCTGGAATATAACTTGTACGATTAGATATTGATTGTGATAATATTTTGATCATATTCCATTTCTTTTTGAGTTATAATTTCATCCAATTGTCTCCTATCAATTTTCAAAGTATCATCTCGTGGTCCGAATCAACTATTGAATTTGCAATTTGGTTCTTAAACTTTGAATTTTGCCATTTTTCTTTGATTTTCTTTTGTTTCTTCCAATTTCTCGTTCAACCATTGAGTTTAACCTATAGAACATAAAATACAACAATTTAGGATATATTTTGTCAAAACAATTGTCAAATATCGATATTTTAGAGCTCGAATAAGTGTATAAAATATATTTATCAATGATTTCCAGCTAGTTACCAAGAAAGTCCACGCATCGAATGGTTACAAGCAGATCCCGAGAGAGTTGGCTCGATGCGAGGTGGCAATGGTTGTTGCTGAATACAAACTCCACATATTCTCTCTATTTCAAGAACCATCTCATTAATTTGAAGCTTTTTGTAGACAGACTTCATCAATTCACTAGGCTACACATGCATTATCATGCCACGTAAAGTTTGTGTGTGTGTCATTCCACGATAATATTTTGTGAAGTCAGAGCTCCTATTTGTAAAAATCAGATTTTTATTAAATAAAAATTAATGAAATGTGTGTTTATTGTGAATCTGATAAAATATATGGTTGAAAATGTATTAGGGCCAAATATGGACATAATATTGTTACGTGTCAAAGCCGAATGTTTGGAAAATTTGAATCAGGATTTTGGTCAATTGATCAAATTGTGAAATAGAAAAGTTGTTAACAATATGTTGACAAATATCTTGTGAATTAGATCGACTATTTTTGAATAATTTTTTGTTGTTAAGAGTAAGATTTCAATCGTAATACCGTCCAGTGATGGCAACGGGGCGAGACGAGGCGCGGACTTGCCCCGTTTCCTGCCCCGTTTGTTTGTTTGTTTTTTTTTAATTTTCAGTTAAAATACAAATTCAAAATTTTAAAATCTAAAACAAATAATGTTCAAATTAATTACATCAATATCCAAAGCAAGCACTCGAAACAAAAAAATGTCCAAAACAAATAATATCCAAAATATTTTTTTTAAAAAAATTTTCAAGGTGCGTGTTCGGGGCGGGGCCCCGTGGGGACAGAGCGGGAAAAATTGTCATCTCTAATACCGTCCCTATTTGAGCCCTATCTTTTTAGAATTCATTTTTAACTTCACATTTACCCAATAATTTGTTTTACACATATATTTAAAAAAAATTCTTATTTTTTCATAACAAATTTTTTTTAAAAAATTACTTTTAACCTATTCTAAAAAATGGGGCTCAAACAAGGACTTTTAATTATTCTAAAGTCTCAAAACACAATATTACCTCGGAAAAATAGTTTGAATAATTAAAAGAAATATGGAGGGGCAAAGTCATATAAACCCAAACCTTAGGTGGCAACAATGCAAATACCTTAATCAAAACTGGGACTTGAAAACGTTGTCGTATAGAGACTCCATCCTTAGACCGCAGTAAAGGGTTCTTGTCTAGGGTTTATCATTCTTTCTACTAAACTCACTGCGGCGGGAAAAGGACAGAACAATTCATATCCAATTATACCTATCAAATTTTCCCCACAATTTCACTCTTTGTCGTATCTTTCGATTTTTTTTATTTTTTCCTTTTCAATTTTCGGACATCCAAATGAAAATTTGAATTTACGATTTCAATTTTTTTTTCAGTTCAGTCGGTTTCTTGACCTAATATCATGTAATTCTATTTGATTGAATCAATTTATTTAATAAGTTTATTGTATCAAAGCTCAATTTTTGAGTTTCTCAAGAATGAAGTTTTGCACAGTGTCCTCTACAAAAATCCCCATTAGGAAAAGAATGTGCCTTTTGCACCAGTTTACGAGCGTTTCAACTTCTTGTGATACCCAAGTGAAGGACTCTTCTTCTGATGAAAGCGCCACCCCAGAGACGAGTTACAGTGAACTGCAGCAAAGAATGCAGATGCATGCGGCCTCAGGGAGCATTGTTAAAGCTCTTGCGTCTTTGAATTCAATGAAAAATGTGCCAGGAAAGCCAACTGTGTACGACTATAATTCGATGATTTATTGTTATTACAAGTCTGGGTATGTTAACTTTAATGAGTTGTTTGATGTATATATTGCAATGAAAAGATTTGGACCGAATCCAAATGCCTTGACTTTTAATACGCTATTGAACGGGTTAATATTGGTTGGCAGATTGAAAGATGGGATTTATATTGCACAAGAAATGATTGAGAGTGGGTTTTTGCCTTCGTATACTGTTCTATCAAAAATGTTTAAGAAATTGTTGAATCTAGGAAGTGTAGTGGAATCTCTCACAGTTCTGGATATTATGTTGAGTCTGGATTATATTCCTAGCGAACATGATATTAATGGCTTGATTCATGGTCTTTGTAAAGTCAAATTGATTCAACAAGCATATGTTGTGTTATTGGCACTTTTGGGGAAGGGATGCTTTTGCAGTGCACATTTATATAATCCCATATTGTGGGCTTTGTGTAAGTTTGAGGACAATAATAGTGCCTTAGCATTTTTTGGTTGGTTAAAAAAGAAGGGTTTTGTACATAATGTTTACTCGTATACTGCACTTATTTATGGTTATAGTAAGTACAGGTTGTGGGACGAAGCTTTTCATTGTCTCCACGAAATGGAAAATGAAGGTTGTAATCCAAGTGTGATAACTTATACTATAGTTGTTAAGTTTCTCTGTGATGTCGGAAATGTTGACGAGGCACTTTGCCTTCTGAAAAAGATGGATGAGAAAGGATGTGATCCTGACTTGGTTACATACAATATAATCCTCCGTGAACTTTGCCATCAAGGTAGGACTGTTGAAATCAGTGATCTGGTTCGAGTTATTGATCAAAGGGGTTTGTCACCAGATATGTATACCCATTCGGCTTTGGCTGGAGGCACGTTGAAAAGGGGAAAAACAGAAATTGCAAATAAGCTATTGCTTCGTATTATTTAAAGGGGAGACTCTCTAGATGCTGTAGTTTATAATATATACTGGCATTCTCTGTGCTGTGATGGTAAATCTAGAGAAGCTTTGTCTATGATGCAGAGTATGAGGGAGAAGGGTATTAAACCTACCAATATAACATACAACACAATTCTGAAAGGATTATGTAAGGAAATAAATATTGATGAAGTTCTACAGTTCTTTGACCGCTTCGACTGGACCACCGTTGGGCCTGATTTGATTTCCTTCAATGCAATTTTGTCCATTGCATGTAAAGAGGGAAATTCTTCAATGATAAGGAGGATTTTGAACCGGATGGAGTTTGAAGGATTTAAGCTTGATGTTATAAGCTCAACATGTCTGATTCAGTATTTCTGTGCAATAGGGAAAATCCCAGAATGCTTAAAGCTTTTGAATTCCATGACAAGTAAGGGTCCTCAACCTAATACTATGACCTTAAACACTCTCATGAGTGGCCTCTGCAAACTTCGATTGCTTGGAATGGCCAAAAAAATGTTCACCTATTTCAAAAGCATCGAGATTTCACCTGATACAACTACATATAATATTTTAATGCTATCTTCCATATGAGAAGGCAATGATTTGCTGATAATTGAGCTCTTAAGGGATATGTGTAGCCAGATGTTGACACCTATGGTTGCTTCATTTATAGCCTTTGTAAAAAAGGCAAGATATCACTTGCTCTCCAGCTTCGAGACCAATTATTTGCTAATGGAATTACTCCTAATATTGTGATTTACAATACCATATTGGAGGCTATGTTTAGGAGAAGAAATTTTTGGGAAATCATCTCATTATTGAAACGGATGGCAATGGATGGCTGTGAACCAAGTGCATATTCTTTGGAGATTTTGAGACGATCAATGAGAAAAGGTTGGATGAAAGGACTTCCAAGAGCCGCAATTTTTTTAGAAATGGTCATGTGTGGTAATTGATAATGTGAGAATGAAAAACATCAAAGGGATTCTTGGATGATGGATGAAGAAAGTGGACCTTATTACAATTGCTTCGTTGTGAAACTTCCAAGAGATCTTGATTTGTCTGGAAAATTAGTTCATTGCAGTCTGCAACAGGTACCGAATTTCTTAAATAAAATATTATAGTTACCATCATCTATTTCTACTTCACGAGCATTTGAACACTCTCAGTTTATTGTTGCGTGATGTTGAAGACTTGATAAAACTTAGAGAAGCCTTCATAAGTTTTTGGGTAATAGAAATTAGCAAATTAAGGACCTCTTCACGATTTCCATCCAAATCAGGCACTAAGAATTTTATTGAAGGGCATATATATATATATATGAATGTAAATAGAAAAGACAAAAAAATGGAAAAGAAAAAAATTTCTTCCTCGACACCACCCACCTCCACCTCCACCTCCACCTCCACCTCCACCTCCACCTCCACCCCAGTTCCCAATCCCCCTTCCCTTACTGTGTAAACAGGGATCCTGGTTTTGTGGCCGACGAAAATGTGAAACCAGGGGAAAACCCCAGCCATGATGTTGACTTGGTGGGGTGGCGGATCTTGGTGGTGAAAGTTCCTAGGTAAATTTGGACATTATTTTTTAGTCTGGAATGGGAATCCAACCATATGGACAAATTCCTGAAGTCGGAGCTATCACGTAGGTCTTCACTTTGTCTTGAAATGTGACCACAAGTGGTGGTTTGGGTCGGAGCAAAGGCGATGGTTGGACCGTTTTGCCCTTCATAAAAATTCGGAGCTATCATGTAGGTCTTCTCTATGTATTTGCTCTTTTATAAACCGTTTGATAAAATATAAGCATTTAGTGGTTGGACCGTTTTGCCCTTCATAAAAAGTCATGTGCATGTCTGTTGACTTGATTTAACGCTTGATTCGGACGGAAACCGTGAAAAGGTCCTTCATCTTCTAATATCTCAAAGTTGTGAACAACCTAGACAAAAACTTGGTCGGGGACAAGATAGCTACTTTGGCCAAAGGTTGGGGACTAAATTTGCAATTCACCCAAAGTTTTTCTAGATGCTGAACTGACTCTTCTAAGTAAATAGTCTGGCCAATATGAAACCTTGAACCGGTGAACAAAGTAAATGTAGCTTTTATCAATTTTCAAAGAAAGACTAAGATGCTTGGAAACTAATTCTAAATTTGTTGCGACATCCAGTATCAGTTGATGATTGGTATAAAATAAGATAATGTCTTGTACTCGTATATTTTCATTACTCTCTTCTAGATTGTTAATTGATTTCTCCTAATAACTTCTTCTACGAAGTAATTTCAGAATCTTGGTAAAATTTGGGTCTTTGGGGTATTGCATTTCCAAATTGCAAAAGATTTTAACTTTAGGGTGTGTTTGATCCACATTTATTTGGAAGAATGTATTCTGGAATAGTAGATTGATGAGAATTTTTGGTTGAAAAAGAATGAAAAGTTATTGATGTGATGGAAAATATTATTTTATTGAGGAATGTGTGGTTGAAAATGAGGAGAATAATGAAAATGAAAATTTTAATGTGTACCAAACAGGGCTTTAATAATGAATATTTCCTTTCTCATACACAAACATTTTTGCTATGAAATTTCAAGTCATAACTATTGAGGTTTTCTCTTCTCATACAAATCGTTTATTAATAAAAAAAGTATGTGTATGTATTACTGATTTCGGGAGCAAAACATTCACTTTATTCTTGTTTGTGCATGGATAACTTTATTCATTATACTTGGTCCAAAGTGAATTCTATTTAACAACCTTTGTGCAAAATAGAACTAAATTAAGATTCTGTTTGGGAGGGATTAAATTTTTCTACGGTAAATCGATTCTCATTTTCAACCACATTCATTTTCAACCACACATTCTTCAATAAAATAATATTTTCCATCACATCAATAATTTGTTCTTCTTTTTCAACCACACATTTCTCATCATATCACTATTAAAAATCAATTCTTCTCACAAAAATCTCTCCCAAACAAGCTCTAAAATTTCAGGATCCCTTGGCTTTTTACTTGACAAAAATACCTGCATTGAAACCAAGGAATCTTTAATTATTTTCGGGTTAAATTATGATGTGCCTTAAAACGAAAATGTGAATTCAAATGATTCATATTACGTCAAATTTAATGTAGTTGACTTTATTATTTTGGGAGGCTTGGATAATCCTTTGCTTTATCTACTTTCTTGTTTTGTTGACATTGGACTGTTTTACAATTTTTAGTTCAATGAATCATATAATGCAAGGTGTATGTAAAATATTAGTTTATACATTAGGCGTGAGGAGATCTGAACTGTTTTAAGAAAACTATATGGTGTAGTTGTGTGAATGTTCTACAAAGGCCGACAGTTTGTACTTGGCCACTGGGCAGGGTAATACTGATGACGTCCAAGATATGGAAATCTTCCGTGCAGTTTTTAAGATGCTTGAAGTTCCATTAATCTTATTCATAATATTTTATTGTAGCTTCCTTAATTTGATCAAGCATTATTTGTTTGTCTTCTTGGATAAAAAGTGGTTCAAGAAGAGGGAAAAACTGTCTCTGTCAAACTTGATTGTTCAGTACATTAAGCTTGATTGCCAAACTTCTCTGTGCTTGTCTTGCAGTGTTTACTGTCTTAACATTAAGGAACTTTAGACCACCCGGTCCGAGTTCATAAATGCTTGCTGCTTCTGACAACTGTTAGAAGCTGATTCTTGAGGAGAGCAGAAGATATTTTATCAGCATTAGCTCATTTTAAGTTAAACAGTGTTTTATGTTAAATTTTGTGCCCTGTTGTGTAGGACCTGTTGGGACAGAACTCGTGCAGAGTTATAGTAATATCATTGAAGAACCTCTGGAAACGCTTTTGCTTGTGTGGACTTTCCTTCAGGATTCAGAAGAAATTTATATATTATCCTTCCTAATTTTGCTGGGTAACTTTTCTTTTCTTGAATTCATTTATTTTTCTCTCTTTAGCATGCTGGATAATCTATCTTTTGCAGTGGAATTAACGATGATGGAGAGATCCTCTCCCCCACTATGAAAATAATTAATTGGATGGATTCACGTGCCTTTACACCTGAAACAATCATCAATTAAAGAAAAAACTTGTAAAAGAAAGTCCAAAAGAATGGTTATCCAGATATACCTTTAGACCACTAACTGTTCCTATCAATAAAGATTTGAGAGTTGGCAGTGTCACAAAGCAAACATCCTACCTCAGAACGCCTGGATTATACATCTGTATTCATTAAAGAAGCCACGTCTAACTTTGAAACTTAGGATAGGATTGAATAACTAAACGGCTGACCACCCCACCCTCCTCTACCTGGGGACATAGCACGATACCAAATCTTTCTGTCATTAAGTTTTTTCAAAACCCCACATCTTTTTTATGACACGAACATGACTCATGCAGCTAAAAGTTGCGATCCAAATGCTACTTTTTTCCCTTTTCATAAAGGGTGACGTACCGTTGGATCCCAGAATGCTTATTGTATCTGACTCATCTTTGGTGTCTTTGCACCAAGAATTCCCAGTTTAATCACAACCTTACTGGATTTTCTTGGAAATGCAGGCAGAGCAGATTCAGTAATCCTTACGATGATCAAATTTGGAGAATGCATGGATAATTTTGTACAAGGAATCCAAGTGCATGGTAAATCTTTAACCTACCTTATGTTACAGTTTGTTATTAGACTAATGGAGGCTGTATTGTATCCTTGACTAGACTGAGCCCGACAGAATTAAGGAAGAGATTTGCTAGTTATCATATCTAGTCTAACTTGCAAAATTTCTCGAAACAAATACCTTATATACAATAAGCAAACATTCCAAATTCATCACTTTATTTTTCCCTCTCAACCACAAAAAAAATATAAATACAAATTTGCAAGCATGCATGCATTGCACTTTTTTTTTTATTGGTTTAGACGTAAGCTTTTTCTTTATCTTTTATTCCTGCGGTGAAATTAGGACCCAAATTAACGGAAACTTTGAAAGGGAAGTTGAGGCTGGGGGCAAGAATCCTAGAGGTAGGGGGCCTGGAAAAAGTTTTCAAGCAGAACTTTAAGAATAATGTTAATTCATATTCGGCGACTGTGGTAGTCATCCTATGTGGCAGCTTGTTATTTGAGATATTAATTTTCTGTAATTCTGTTGTCTCAAATAACAAGCTAATGCTTCAAATAATAATCTGTTACATAAAATGATTATTGCAGTCTTTGATTATGAATGGTATTACTTGAACTTTAATGTCAGCAACACTGAAAGCTTTTAAAGACTTCTCAGTACCACAGCTGGGCCTATATGTAATTGCACCATCTTTTGTTGCAAATCCATTGAAGTTTCTGGAGGAGTTTCATAGGCCAAAATACGTGGGCTTTCTTATTGTTAAAAGACATTTGTTCGCAATGAACTTTGCCATGGCCCATGAACCATCCCCTTGTTTTGTACGTAGTCATTTGGTGAGTTTTATTTTCTTTGTTTATTTTACAGAGCATGTTGATTTTTTAAGAATAAATTATAAACACAGACTTTATTATTATTTTTTTAAAGAATGTGTGGCTAAAATGTATAGAAAAGTTATGAATTCGCTCATAAAAATATTTTATTGAAAGAATGTGTTGTTGAAAATGAATTTGAAGAAAAGAAGTTTTTGAGAATTTCTACAAAGTAAGGGCTTAATTTAGTTTATTTGACTTGTTTCGAGTTCATATACTGGAAAAAAAATGAAGATGCTGAGAAGATTCAACTTAAATTTCTCATATGTTAGAAGTCGATTGTGAGACAATGCATTTTTCTTGACCTCTAATTTGATCGAGATGAGTTCAAACTACCCCAAATTAATCAACAGATGGTCAACTATGATCTTCATCAAAGGCGTTAGCATAATTTTTTAAAATATTTATTGAATTTCGTGCTTATAACAGCAATCACGTACCATGATTAAGGATTTGATGATAATCAAATTTCATAGCAATTGAAACCAAATTCAGATAAACATTGTGGTATAATTCATATTAAGCACACTACTAAAAAAAATTGATTAAAGTTTAAATCATAGTCAACATTTAAATGTAATTGCACATTTCATATGATTCATTTTTTTAACCACACATTCCATCAATATTTATTAAAATTTACTAAAAATTTGATTTTTGTCTAAAGTCACGAGTTAAATTTCATTAAGGCTTAAACCATTAAATTATTTACTTATTTGCATGAATGGATTCAGTAGCAGATTACAAGTCGGACTAATATGTAAAAAAAAAAAAAAAATTACACATGATTTTTTTTTTTTTTCTACCTAAAAATAAAAAAATAAAAAATTGAGTTGGTTGGGGACTTGGACCGGGCTGTAGCCATATTTATTGAATTTCGTGCTTATAAAAGCAATCACGTACCATGATTAAGGATTTGATGATAATCAAATTTCATAGCAATTGAAACCAAATTCAGACAAACATTGTGGTATAATTCATATTAAGCACACTACTAAAAAAAATTGATTAAAGTTTAAATCATAGTCAACATTTAAATGTAATTGCACATTTCATATGATTCATTTTTTTAACCACACATTCCATCAACATTTATTAAAATTTACTAAAAATTTGATTTTTGTCTATAGTCACGAGTTAAATTTAATTAAGGCTTAAACCATTAAATTATTTACTTATTTGCATGAACGGATTCAGGAGCAGATTACAAGTCGGACTAATACGTAAAAAAATAAAAAATTACATATGATTTTTTTTTTTTCTACCTAAAAATAAAAAAATAAAAAATTGAGTTGGTTGGGGACTTGGACCGGGCTGTAGCCCGGTCACACATTATTTGGGTGGATTAGGACTTGATCCATTCATCAAGAAATTATGGTTGTTCAAATCACATTATACTCCTTTTTTTTCTTTCTACCGTCTGACTTGCAAGATTTTTTAATTTTTTATTCATTCACTCTATTGAGCCCCTATTCGATGCCCATTAAAAATAGTATTTTGAAAAAAAAAAGAATTGTGGAATAGTAATTTTTTAGAGAATGTATGATTAAAAAGTAAAAAAAAAAAAAAAACGAATTTACATGAAAAATATTTTATCGTGAAAACGTTTGGTTGAAAATGAGTTTTAGGAGGAAAAGAAAAAATAGAATGATAGACTAACAGGGGTCAAGAATTCTAAGAACAGAAAATACTTTGTAGTGCTAGACTATCAAGATTATCTTAACCGAAATATACGTTACATTAATTTTATTGAATACTGACCTAAAACAAGCCAAGACCGGACTATGAGTCAAGGTTCTAATATTAGACTGAATCAATAAATTAAGACTTGTTCCATTCATGAAATATGGTAGTTCAAATTACATTATGAACAAGACATAGTTGACCTTTTCGATTAAAACTTGGTCCTTGACCGCTTTCGACCTGTTCTATGTTTTTCATTTTTCCTGTGTGTATATATTCCCTCCAAGGTTTCTTCAATATTAACCCGCCGGCTCCTCTCTCTCTCTCTCTCTCTCTTTCAATCTCATTTATCATTCAGAAATGGAATTATTATGTGAAGGAGGAGAAAATGGAAACACGGAACAATCCCATGCAATTGCAGACGAAATTAATACCCCCGAGAATGAGGGGAATCTTGTTGGAAATGGAAAAATGGATTCAGAAAGATATGGGAATTCCGATTCTAATGGAGAACAAGAGATGGAAGTCAATGCCCGTTCCAGTGAGATGATAATAAATTCAGAAAAAGCAAGCGAAGCAGTACAAGAAATGATCCAACAACCCCATTCGCAGCTGCCCAAGCCAGAAGCGCCGCCGGGGATTAATCTATCGCCGAAGATGGAAAGGTCAGTTTCGGCGCCGGATGATTTTGATATGCAGGCGATAGGGAAATTTATTCGAGAAAAGAGAGATAGCTTTTCTGCTGCCATAACGAGGCGGTGGTCGTCGTTGAGAGAAGTAAGAATCGACGATGGAGACGAAGAGGCTATAGTGAAGCCCGCGTCACAAGTTATGGAATTCGATCTCGTAGGACCGAAAGTGATCAAATCACTGAAAGAATCAGGTAAGGCAGAGCTGAAAGGAAGAATTAGCTTTTTCTCGCGATCGAATTGCCGGGACTGTAATGCAGTGAGATCATTTTTGCGCGAAAAGTATCTGAATTTTGTGGAGATCAACATCGACGTGTATCCCACGAGAGAAAAGGAGTTAATCGAAAGGACAGGAAGTGGAACAGTGCCACAGATATTTTTCAACGAAAAGCTGATCGGAGGATTGGTCGTATTGAATTCTTTGAGGAATAGTGGGATCTTGGAGAAGAAAATGGAGGAAATGCTGAAGAGTAAATGTCCCGATGATGCGCCAGCGTCGCCAGTCTACGGCTTCGATGATCCGGAAGAGGAGGAGAGTTTAGATGAGATGGTGGCGATCGTTAAGGTTTTGCGGCAGAGGCTGCCCTATCAGGATCGTCTGATGAAGTTGAAGATTGTCAAGAATTGCTTCAACGGAGCTGATCTTGTGGAGGTTCTAATACACCACTTGGACTGCGGCAGGAAGAAGGTACGCCTCTCCATTTCACTCCATTTTCATTTTCATTTATTTTTTAATAATTTTTTTACATATCAAATAAATACCGGTACAAGGATAATCTTCACTTTGGTTTTGAAACATAATCGATAGTTGTCGTCTAGCGTCGAAATAATTATCTAGGATCCGGAGATTTGTGCATGGAGTGTATTCTTAATATGCAGAATAATATTATCTAGAACTACTAGTACTACAACATCAGTTTAATGAACGTTTTTTGCAGAAGCATGATGTTTTGGACTTATCTATTTTTTGTTTTAATTAATATTAAAATATGGGATTAGATAAAGTTATGTTATTCGGAAGGAAATCTAGACGGTTGGGGGGAGGCGCTGACCAAATCGGATTTCATTGGTTAACTAATTTAAAATCAATTAATTAATAATTAATATATTTTAGTATTTTAGTGTGACGAAAGAAATTTTTACCATTAGTTATCTTTTAATGATTTCATTTCTCTAGTTACTAATAATTAATTGCACGAACACTGAATTTTGAATAACAATATGGTCAGAATAATGATATTTGCAGTCGTTCATTATTGCAGTTATCATATGTGACATGCATGTGACAGTTAATGATTGATTCATCAAGTAATAAAAAACTATCACATTAATGTATCGAATCGCTGACCCCATATGTATGCTACGGATGACGACTACAATAATGAATGACTGTAAATAACATTACTTGTGTAGAAATTAAAATTTAATTTGAGGGAATAAGTATGAAATAGAGGCAAAAAAAAAAAAAAATTAAAAATGGTTGATCCTTCAAATGGAGCATATAGTCAAAAAAAATTGAATAATTCAATTTGAGGAAAATATTTGGGCACAAAAGAAGATGTTAGATTTGGTTTAGTGCTCCCGCAATTGTCGGGTGTCAACGTGGACGATGATGTACACAAAGAAAGATCTTTTATAGTTGATTTCGACAATTATCGCTTAAATTGAAAAAAGAAAAAGAAAAAGTAAACTCTTAAATTATTTTTTATTCAAGAAAAACAAAACCATCCAAAGTCCAAAACTACCGTCACTTGCGGCGGATAAATCTATTCCCAATTGTACCTTCGGTCCCAATTGTCCTATCGAATTATAAATAAAATGTATTTGAGCCATGTTATTTTGGAATGAGAAACGCTACAGTGACAGGGAAGGTGACCGATCCAAAAGCAGGGGCCGAGGTGGTTTCATCTCTGCCCTTAATCTGATTTTCAACAGTAGAAATCAAGGCCAAGGTGGCGCTCTGTTTTCTGGTCGGTCACCAACCCTGTCCGTTTAGCATTTTTGATTTTGGAATAGTAGATTGATGGAGAATATATGATTGAAAAAGAAGGAAACGTTATTGATGTGGTATAAAATATCATTTTATTGAAAAATGTGAGATAGAAAATGAGTAGAAGAACGAGAATAAAATTTTAATATGGCTCCAACATGGGCTAAGTAAATAAAAATACTAATAATTATCTTGAGACTTGTACTGTATCAAGAATACTATAAACAAATATTCTCTGTGTATAATTTGTTGAATTCGGAAAAGTTGAACATGGCTATTCACTTGTATCTATATATTAGACGATACTCCTTCGTGTTTAATTTGACGTACCAACTGTATCATGTATCATATATATTAGTTATTTTATTTGACTAGCCAAACGATTATGAATAGATAGAAACGAGTGCATGGACAGTACTTGTGAATCCTTCGAAATGAGTGGATATAACATGGCTTGTGTGTTTATAAATCGTTTATAAACATGAGCCAAATATAGGCTAAAGTAGTCAAAATTTGATGGTTAAGCCAAAACTGCAACTCTTTTATTTTGTCTACAATTTTTCACCGATTAATGACACTGTATTTTGTTTCACAACTTGTGTATAGGCCATTGAGATTGGGAAGCAGCTGGCAAGAAAGCATTTCATTCATCATGTTTTTGGGTAAGAACAAGATAATGGGAACTTATAGCTTTCAACCTACTTTGATCTTATAGATATGATGTGTGAAATGCAGCGAAAATGAATTCGAGGATGGAAACCACACCTATCGATTACTTGAGCACGAGCCTTTCATTCCCAAATGTCATAATTTCAGAGGATCGGTAAATGACAATGAGCCTAAGAATGCTGCTACTGTAAGTCAGAGGCTTGCCCGAATAATGTCGGCCATACTCGAGTCCTATGCCTCTGATGACAGACGCCATCTTGATTTCGTCGGCATCAGAAATAGTGAAGAATTACGGAGGTAATATGGATCTTTTATCAAGTTGAATGGAAACAGATTACAAGTTTAGGTTTAGTCATTTATCACGCATTAGCGATGACTTTTTTCCTTTACCGAATGATTATAAATGCAAGTGTTGTTGGCTAACTTCATACTTCCTTTCTTCATGAATACAGGTACATAAATTTAGTGCAGGATCTCCAGAGAATGAATATATCGACACTTTCAGCGGATGAGAAGTTGGCATTCTTCTTAAACCTGCATAACGCCATGGCTATTCACGCGGTCATTAGAATTGGTAATCCTGGACGCATGATCGATTGGAGGGCTTTCTTTGATGATTTCATGTATGTGGTTGGAGGATACCCCTATTCCATGAGCACGATAAGAAATGGGATTCTTCGAAGCAACAAAAGAGCACCTTTCTCATTAACAAAACCTTTTAGTGGTGGAGATAAGCGTCTGGAGGTAATTAACTACGAGAGTAATGCTGTTCAGAGTCACTGATTATAGTAGTCATCTTATATGGGTGCCTCAAATAACAAGTTTTCACGTAAGATGACTACTGTAGTTGTTGACTACGAATAGCATTACTCTAATTTCAATTGTTTCCTTTCTCCTCGATAAGCGAAGCTTCTGCAGCTTAAACTGTCACAGTGAAATAAAACCTGTATTTAACACATTCCTTTCATCTCTGGACTTATACATGAAACTGAAGCTGAACTTGCTCATTTTTCAATTCCTTTCCAGTTGGTGTTTCCAAAAGTGAATCTATTAATTCACTTTGGGCTCTACAATGCGACAAGGTCGAGCCCCATGGTGAGATTCTTCACTGCTCAGGGTGTTGCATCTGAATTAAGACATGCTGCAAGGGAATTCTTCAAAAGGGATGATGGAATGCACGTAGATCTTGCCAAGAGGACCGTGCATCTCTCTCGCGTTTTCAAGTGGTTAGTCGTTAATGGAGGAATTTCTCTGTTTGTGTTTGAAATCAAGATTTCATTGAAGATTATGATGACATGCATGGTTTCACAAAATGCAGAATCTTAAAGTAGTAGACACTTCATTAACTTTGCTTTCATGGATCATTTGTCCTGCAGGTACAGTGCAGATTTTGGGCAAGAAAAAGAAATTCCTAAGTGGATCATAAATTACTTGGATGCAACCAAGGCAGGTCTTTTGACACACCTTTTGAATGATGGGGGCCCAATTAATATAGTGTATCAAAAATTTGATTGGTCTCTCAATTCCTCTTTTTAAATGTTATCTTTTCATTCCTTAATTTTTTGAAATTATAGGAGTGATGTAATATATTTTATAATAAAGGAGTGATAAAAAAAATAAAATGAATTTGACATGTACTCTAATTATTTAAGCCATCTCATTGTTCAACAATATCTATTAGTATTAGCCTTAGATGTGAGAGGTTAGACAATGTCAACATCTTCATATATAATTGTATTCCATTTTCGATCTGAACGAGGTGAGGTTATATTGAACGAGGAAATATAACTAATGCTCACTTATGGCATGTTTCGAATGGTGAACGGTAGATAATCTCATATGCTATGAATGATAGAATTCACAAGTTGCCATATCTAATTACATCCAATTTATTTCACCAAATATGGACCTAGAGCGCTATAGGAGTCGAGTTTCTCCTCTTCTATGGTACTATCTCATCTCAATATATTGTCTCCGTTGTTGTAATTTCATGAGATCAAGATATTCGATCGCTCTGTACTAAGTATCAGTTAGTATTAGGTCCTTGCTTGATTCAGTTAAAAATTTAAGTCAAAATCAACAATTAATTTTAACTATATATTTTATGGGATCCATGATCTTTTAATCTCAATTTTCATCAACTTTTATTAAAATATACTAAAAATTAAATTTATCATCTAAATCAAGCAGAGGCCAAGTCTTTTGGCAAAGGAGCCAGTTTATATATTCATCCTTAAAAAAACCTTACTAGGCGACAACTAATTTCTAAGTCAAGGAGTTTTTCTACGAAATATTTTAATGTTTTTCAATTCAGTGCAATAAAATGCAATATAGCAAGTTTGCATGCTCCCGAATCTTCCCAGAAAGAACCCAATTCAAATGATTGATGAAATCGCAACCATGCTACATGTACAATGACGGATGGCAATGGACGATAACCAACACTCATAATAGGGGGGGTCCACTTTTTATTTTGGAATTTTTTAATCACGTGGGCCCATACGCATGTGAGAGGTTGTCAATCTCCATTGTCATCCATTGTTTGTACAAATGGAATTTTCTGTTATTGGAGACGTAGTTTAGGGATATTTTCACCAGTACCGACCATCGGAGGAGCAACGGCTGGATTGGAGGGTGCGTCCGATGGAGAAGTGGCTGATTTGGACACGGGTTTCAGGCCCAAGAAGATATATAAATACAAAATATACTCTATTTTAGAGTCAGTACTTAAAAATAAATTTTAATTTTTTAGAATAAAAAATGGGTGTTGGAGAGCCAAATTTATTTTATATTCTTAATTAACAACGATTGTATTTAATAACTTATAAATTTTGATACTCTATAATTTAAATTATTCAAATCAAATTTTGAATTGATTGGTCATTAACATATAAAAAATATGTTAAATAAAAGATGAGGAGAAATCAATAAATATTTATTGAAAAAAATTAAATAAAGAGTAGAAATAGAGGATACTTTGGAATGCATAAAAAGTTACTCTCTATTAAATATGTTTTTTTTAAAATAAAATCGCATGAAGATGTTTTAAGGAAATAATAGTGACAATTATCCCTTGTTTGGGCTTCATTTTAATGTATTTTGAAATGATAATTTTTTTAAAGAATGTACGGTTAAAAAGTAAGAAGATTTTTTAGGTTTACGCATAATATTATTTTATTGAAAAATTGTGGTGAAAAAGAGGTAAGAAAAAAAGGGAAACTTACACAAATACTTTTTTTTTTTTTTAGGATCATTATGAAAAATCATGATAAACATGTATTAAAAAGCAATAATTGTAAATTTAAACCAATAAACCGTAGAGATTATGGTAATTTCAAAATGAAGAATCACTTCCAGCAGCTCCAAAATTCCAACTCCTCCAAGTTCCAAATCAAGCAAAATCTAAGACCAGACAAGATTAAGAATTGTTTCAACGACATCTTCTTTAAAGTTTAATTCACCAATTCTATAAATAATGAATCCAAATCTACATGTTTATATTAGTTCTGATTTTTGATTCACTGTGTTCTTATTTTGGTTGATTTTGATGTTGTTTAGGTTTTTATGTTCAATATGTTGAGATTTACAGTTTGTTTGATTTTTTATTCAATATGTTCAATCTAATAGGTACATGGTTTGTAAAAATCAGCCTTCAATCTCAAAAAATCAAAGATGTTTGAAATTAACATCTAAAGCACGACGGGTATTTCAGTGTGATTGGAAGCATGTTTGAAAATAACATGGTTGAACTTGAGAGAAAATTGATTGTGTTAATACATATGAAAAGCTAGCTTTGAATCCATTAAAATTTTGCATGCAAGGTGTTTGACAAAAGGAGAATGTGAAAAGGTGACAGTCCGTCACTTTTCTATGAAAAAATGATGTTCTGTCACCTTTTACTACAGCAATTAACTAGATGCATATGTGTGCGTTTTTAGAAATTTGAACATTCTAAATCAAACATTGTTTATGTATATATATGAAAATTTAGCTTTGAATTAATTAAATTGATGCATGTAAGGTGTTTGCTCAAAAGAAGAATGTGAAAAAGTAACATTCCATCACTTTTCTTAAAAAAAAAAATCAAAGTATTTCACTGGAGCAATTGATTAGATACATATGTGTGCATTTTTGAAAATTTAAATAAACGAATCCAAACCTTGTTTTATATTAATACATTTGAAAAATTAAATTTGAATCAATTCAATAGATGCATAAAAGTTGTTTGTGAAAGAATGTAAAAAAGTGACATTCCGTCACTTTTTTTTTTCTAAAATAGTCAAAATATCTTATTGAAGCAATTAATTAGATACATACGTTTGTATTTTTTTAAATTTAAATAAACAAATTCAAACGTTGTTTTATGTTTATACATATGCAAAATTAACTTTGAATCAATTCAATAGATGTAAGCAAAGTGCTTGCAAAAAGGAGAATGTGAAAAAGTGGCATTTTGTTACTTTTCTATGAAAAAAATTATATTCTGTCTCTTTTTTCTTTAAAAAAATGTGGCAATATCTCATTGGAGCAATAACTAGATGCATATGTGTGCATTTTTGGAAATTTAATATATGAATTCAAACCTTATTCTATATTAATCCATATTAAAATTAATTTTGAATCAATTCAATAGATGTATGTAAGGTGTTTGTGCAAAGGAAAATGTGAAAAAGTGACATTCATCTCATTGAAACAATTAACTAGATGAATGAACGCGTGTTTTGGAAAATTTAAATATATTATTGAAATCTTATTTTAATTTTGCATTCAATTTATATTTATTTGAATCAATTCAATTGATGCATCCTATGTATTGCGAAAATGAGTGTAAAAAGTGATATTCTGTTACTTTTCTATGAAAAATCACAGTATCTTATTGAAACAATTAACTAGATACATACTATGTATATTTTTTTAAATTAAAATATACGAATTCAAACATTGTTTTATTCTTACATTCAATTCATATTTTTTTGAAACAATTCAATTTATGCATCCAAGGTA